CCACCAATTTCTTTGCAAGTAATAACAGACCAGACACACAACTACCAAAAACCGGTGGTAAGTAATGGTTAGTCCCTAGACTGTGGATTCTAGAGCCAGATGAGAAACAGTTAGAATCCTAGTACCACCACAGTGAGGGTGGGCAAGTGACTGCTTCTTCGTGCCTTGATTTCTAAAACAGAGGTAGAGCCAGGCATGGAGGCTGGTGCCTATAGTCCCAGGTACTTGGGAGGCTGAGGATGGAGGATTGCTTGAGCCAAGGAGTTTGAAGCTCCATCAGTCAAGCTATGATCATGCCACTGCACTCTAGCCTGAACAACAGAGACCCCATCTCTTAAAAAAAAAAAAAAAAAAGGTAAAAACAGTGTCGACTTTATATATGGTACCTACCTCATATGTGTTGTGAGGATTAAATGAGCTAATACACATAGCAAATACTCAGTAAATGTTACCTATTCTCCCCTTACTGTGTAGGAAATCTTCCTTTATCCCTACCATGCCTCAGATATCTCTATTTGTTCCCTGACACCTTGAGGATATTTTATCAGAACACGTTAACTCATTGTTGATATTATCTGATATATCTGATATTAATTGATATTATATTATTGTTTATCATTCTCTCCCACTGCACTCAAAGATTGTTCACACATATTTGTTAAGTTATAACAGGGATCAAGAGAGATACAGTATATACCCCAAATAATTAAAATCAGGTACTCAAATACAAATATATATTCATAGCAGCACTACTTGGAATAGCCAAGAAGTGGAAGGAGCCCTACTGCTCATCAATAGATAAATGGACAGGGCTGGGCATGGTAGCTCATGCCTTTATCCTAGCACTCAGGGAGACCAAGACAGGAGGATCACTTGAGCTAAGGAATTTTGAGACCAGCCTGAGCAACATAGTAAGATACCCTCTTTTTTTGTTTGTTTGAGATGGAATTTCACTCTGTCACCCAGGCTGGAGTGCAGTGGCACGATTTGGGCTCACAGCAACCTCCACCTCCCAGGTTCAAGCAATTCTCCTCTTTCAGCCTCCCTAGTAGCTGGGACTATAGGCATAAGCCACCACACCTGGCTAATTTTTATATTTTTAGAAGAGATGGGGTTTCACCATATTCATCAGGCTAGTCTCGAACTCCCGACCTCAGGTGATCCTCCCACCTTGGCCTCCCAAAGTGCTGGGATTACAGGCATGAGTCACTTTATTTATTTATTTACAAATAAGACATATAAAATATATAAGACATATATAAAATAAGACATATATATATTTAAGACAGCAGGCCAGGAGTAGTGGCTCATGCCTGTAATCCCAGCACCTTAGGAGGCCAAGGTGGGTGGATCACCTGAGGTCGGGAGTTTGAGACCAGCCTGACCAATATGGTGAAACCCCGTCTCTTCTAAAAATACAAAATTAGCCAAGTGTGGTGCTGTGTGTCTATAGTCCCAGCTACTCGGGAGGCTGAGACAGGAGAATTGCTTGAACCCAGGACGTGAAGGTTG